GTCAGGTCACCCTGAGAAATGCGTTCTGAAAAGGGCCAGCAAAAGCTTAGCATTTTAGAATCACAAGAAGAAGGGAGTACATGAGTTGTGATGTATAAAGTATAAATAATTGCCGGTAAAGTAATTAGAAGGGGAAAATATTTTTGAAGAGTTATATCTTAAATAGACATTAACTTGAAATTAATATTATAGAATATTTCAGCAAAAAAGGAGCTCTGAGAAAGAGAAGGAATAAGAGTAAATAAAACTATGCCAAGGATCTTCTCTTGATTTGAGGACAAGGAAATAAACAGTGATGAATTATTTAAATTGAAAGGTAAAGATTCAAATAAGTACTCATGTAGTAGAAATAGTATTTATAATTTTCAGAGTATAAAAGGAGAAAAGTATAATGTAAAACTATTATTACAAAATGTTAGAAAATTTAAGAATAACAAGAAAATATAATAAACAGATAACATGAAATATTGGTTCAAAAATTTAGAGTTAGAATGATAAATATTAAATGGTTAATTTCTCCTACTAAAAGTCAGTGACGCTCTACCTGTTCACAAAATTTAGATATATTATATTCAGAAAAGGTATATTTAACTGACATCCACACACAGAGGAACGAAGCTGAACAATACACAAAAATGTACTCAAAAATGGACCATAGACCTAAATGTTAAAACTATAAAACTCTTAGACGAAAACATAAGTATAAATCTTCATGACCTCAGATGAAGCAAGGTTTCTTAGCTATGACACCAAAAGCATAAGCAGCAAAAGAAAAAATAGGTATATTGAGCTTTATGAAAATTAACATTTCTTTCTGCTTCAAATAGTTCCATGAAGAAAGTGAAAAGACAACTCACAGAATGGGAAAATATAGGCAAATTATTTACGTGATAAGAGACTTGTATCTGAAATATATAAAAGAACTCTTAGAACACTTAGAACAAGAAGACAACTAAATTTTTAAATGAGCAAATGATTCGAATAGACATTTCTCCAAAGAAGATATACAACTGGCCAATAAATGAATAACAAGATGCACAGCATCATTAGTCATTAGGGAAATGCATATCAAAGCCACCACTAGATACCACTTCACACCCACTTGGATAACTATAATAAAAAAGACAGATAATTACAAATGTTGACAAGAATGTGGAGAAATTGGAACCCTCATACATTACTGGTGGGAATTTAAAATGGTATGGCAAGGGCTGGCCGGGTGGCGCACTCGGTAGAGTGCGGTGCTTGGGAGCGCGGTGGTGCTCCCGCCAAGGGTTCGGATCCCATGTGGAGACCAGTTCCCGCTCACTGGTTGAGCGTGGTGCGGGTGCGACACCGAGGGTTGCGATCCTGTTGCCGGTCACAGTACGGGCGCGACACCAAGGGTTGCAATCCTGTTACCAGTCACGAAAAAAGACAAAAAGGAAAATAAATAAATAAAATGGTATGGCAAGCTTTGGAAAACCATTTGGCAGTTCCTCAAAATGTTAAACCTAAAGTTACCATATGACCCAGCAATTCCGCTCCTAGGTATGTACCCAAGAAAAATTAAAACATATGCCCACACAAGAACTTGCATACAAATGTTCATAGCAGCATTATTTATAATAGCCAAAGAGTGGAAGCAGTCCAAATGTCCATCAACTGATGAATGGATAAACAATATGTAGTATATCCATACAATAGAGCATTTGCATAGAAAGGAATGAAGTACCAACACTTGCTACAACATGGGTGCGCCTTTAAGACATTGTGCTAAGTGAAAGAAGCCAGGCACAAAAGACCACATATTATATGATTCCATTTATATGAAATGCCCAGAATATGCAAATCCATAGAGGCAGAAAGTAGATTAATGGTTGCCAGGGGCCAGGGGACAGAGGGAGGGTTGAGAGTGACTGCTAAGAGATGCAGGGTTTCCTCTGGGAGGGACAAAAATTCTAGTGTCCTAGAATTAGATAGTTGTGATGGTGGCACAACTCTATAAATGTACTAAAAGCCACTGAATTGTACGTTTCAAAGGGCGAATTTTATGGTATGCGAATTATGTATCAATAAAGCTGTTATAAAAACAATACAGCTTAACTACTTGGAGGGCAGCAACTCATGAATCAGTGTGAGAGTCCAGGGGTTAGTAGTGGGCCCCAGTTTAGAAAAAAAAAAACACTAAAAAAAGGTTAAAAGTAAGGGATTGGACAAAGGTATATCAGGCAAATGAAAATAAAAAGGAAATAGGAGAGTTAGGAACATCGCAAAAATTAGAATTTGAGGCATTGATACATTAAGTGCGACTTTAAAAAAGATATTTTATAATGATAAAGGGGATAATTCACAAGGAAGATATAATATTCATTAATTTTCTATCCCCGACAAAAAGCCAGAAAATACACAGGGCAAAAGCTATTAGCAAAATGGTAAGAATATGACAAAAACACAATTTTATTGGGAGACTTTAATATATCTGTCTCAAAATTTGACGGATCAAAGTAATCATAAAATAGATAAGCATTTGGAGAATACGAACATTATTAATGACTTTGATCTAAGTTTAAACATACCTAGAGTGGAGTCTCAGCTTATCTAGGAATTAGGCAGTGAGTACAGATAAAATTATATATAGCCAAAGTTACTTCTGAGCTCCCATATCATATTTTGAGTTCGAATCTCATCTCTCAGGAAATCCAACAGAACCAGAGTTTCCATCAGCATTTGAGCAGATAACTTGTTCCATTTATTGTGCTCCAGAGGACATTCTTGATTTGCATTTTAAGCCACGTTGTAGTAAAAATGGGTGCCAGCTCTATTTAAACACTAGAATCATATTT